ATCAGGTATTAATATTGGACTTTACAACTTTAGACCATCAGAGCAACCAAGACCAATTCATGAAATGTATATGGTTTTAGATCACATGACTCTGTCAAGGACTTTAGAATTGGTTTTTTTAGAAGCACCATAAAAGAAAAAATTCAGTATAGCAAACTATTTCTAAGTTTTAACTAATGGTCTACTTGTGTTAAATAATATTCAACATAAATCCCAGGCAGACTTTTAACTGTCTTTTGGAATTGGGTTGAGTGGGATTTGAAGCATGTATGCTCCATAGAGCACGCAATGAGCACATGATAATTATTTTTTTTTCTTTTCATTAATTTTATTTTACATACAAGTACACATGCTTAATTTGAAATAGTTATAGGAAGAAACAATAGAATATAATAATGTATCATCCATGTTAGCTCTTCAAGTTATAGAAGTTGTCCATATCCAAAAACTAGCAGCTTGATGCCAAAGTTTGTAAGAATTTCTTTTTTTTTTTGTTTTGTTTTCTTTTGTCCTTGGCTGTGATGTTTTTTTTTATTTTTTTATTTCGGCATATTATGGGGGTACAGATTTTAAGGTTTCAATAAATGCCCATTTCGCCCCCTCGATAATTATTAACTATTAAGAAAAGGAAGATAGAAAATTACATTTTAGTTGTCCCTTAAATATCAGCACAACCAAACTTAAGCGCAAAATTCCCAACACAAATGATTGCCTGTGGGCCAGGCATGGAGCCCCCATAGTACAGTCACTGTTTCCTGAACCTCTCCAGGGGCTGTAACTTTCCTCCTTTCTTCTGCACCACCCCGTTGTAGGACCCAAATCATTTTGCTCAATTTAGATAGTTGTGCAAAGCTGTCAATTGTCTTTTAAAATATAAGTGTTAGTGAGACAGCATTCAAGATAGGCCCTACAAAAACGTCACTCCTTCGCTCAATTGGGATGTGCCCCCCTGAGTAGGGGAGAAAGAGCTGAGGAAGAGGCAGCCTGGGAACCTGCGCGGTACCCTGTGTGCCCCTGGGAGTGAGGAGTGTGTGTCTGACCTGCCAGTGGGGAAGGGACAGGAAACGCTGCGAGCCCCACTGCCAGGTACCAGGTCATTGTCACAGGGGCTGTCTGAGCATGCGCAGCATGGAGGGAAAGCTGAGCGCCGGCCACGCACAGCACAACTCTCCTGGAGCAAGGAGGGTCCCAGCGAGCAGCGCGTGTCCCTCCAACACTGCCCCTGCCCCCGAGGCCCCCACTGAGTGTTAGATGGCACATAAGGACGTCCTTACAGTGTTGACAGGAAGGAGATGATCAGGCACAGGAGGCCCTTGCCCCAGGCAGAGGAGAAGGGAATGGAACAAACTGGGTTCTTAGAAAGGCCTGCGGGGCGGCGCCCCTGTGCTGCCAGTTCCCCTCACCTCCCAGTTCTGGGTGTCCCTGGTGTGGCTTCACCAGGCTGCTGAGGTCCTGGAATTGAGGGAGGTGCTGAATGGTGCCAGACCACAGGCAGGGGCAGGAGCTGCAGGAGACAGCCAGAGCCCCCAGTGTGGCTTTTGGGCCTTGGTGGCAACCAAGAAGCACACGTGGCCTTGTACTATGGATGGGGCCTCTCAGAAAGAAAGTTTGAACAGTTGATGGTGTGGAAGCCTGTGCAGAAATTCAGTTCAGCCAGCAGTTAACAGGCATTCGCTGGGTGCAGGCATGGGAGGGCGGGTCTCTGAGGGAATGGGAGAAGAACAGGGCGTGGGCTTTAGTTAGTCCACTTCAGACATGTTAAGCTGAAGCTTGATGTGACAACGAAGTGAAGACGTTTAAGTTTGGAGCTCAGAATCGGGCTGGAAAAATAAACCAGGATTAAAGACAATGGGTGAGATCCCCAAGGAGCACATGTGGAGAGAAAAGGAGACCAGTAAGGACACATGGGGGAGGGGCTGGCGGCAGTGAAGGGGGAGGGTGGATGGAGGGGAAGGAGGGAGGGGGTGTTATTTTAAAGGTGGTGCTGTGTCAGCAGAAATGAAATTCTCCCCCAAATTCCCAGAGATGTGAAATGGCTCAGACCCCTTTAGGTGATGGTGCTGGGACCCAGCATGAGCCCACCCTGGCTGTCTCTCCTGGTGGGCATGAGGCAGCCGACCACCCATGTGCCCATTAGGATGGCCCGGGCTCTGTGCTCACACTGCCCAGGACGGGGTCTGCAAGGGGCCTGCGAGGAAACCTCCTCATCTGACAGAATCCAGAAGGAGCAAATGAGGCAAAACAGCCAAGCCTGACACTGTGCTGATGACATGCCCCAGTGGCCTTAGGCGCTAAGCCAGTCAGTTATCAAAGCTGCTTCTCCTTTCATGATTTCAGTAACACTGGCTCTTCCTTGGGTCCCTGTTGCTCCTGCTGTCTTCCAGGAACTCTTGCACTCAGGGTTTAGTCTTCCTCCCCACAACTGATACTGCTGTTCTACTGCCCAGCTCTCTGATCCTCCCTCCTAAGTCTGCTACTCCCTTTGCCCTTTCTCTGCCTTATCTGACCCTTCTAAATCTAATGTGTAGATTCCAACTCCTCTCAATTTTCAAGTTTCAAGCTTACCATCTTACAGTTTTCTTTTCCCAATACTTTCCATAGTTCTCCAGTGCTCTGCAAAGCACATTCCTGATGGTGGAGTTCAAAGTCATTTATACATCTGATCACAGGGCTCTCTGCTTACAGGCAGCTACCATGGACAAGGAGAGCATGACGACATGGTCCTCTTTCTTTTTACTGGCCAAGTCAGCGTCATCACTATTACCTCAGTTTATATCCAACTCGTCTCAAAATCTTCATGCACTCCCTTCCAATGAAAGTAACTAAGTACTAAACCATCAAATCTACCATTCTTTCCCCTCTCTCTGGAGTGGGACAGGGAGCCAGCCTGCTCTAGGAAATCTTCCCAGATGGGCAAAGGGTCCTTCCTTCTCTGTCTTCCTCCCTGTGTGATGTGGGCTTGTGTGGGCCCCTGGGTGGGCATTCTGGGCCACCTTGACCTTCCTCATCTCTCATCCACACTCTCTCCTCTCCTACCACCAAAAGCCCCACATCCTCTCACCAATCTTGGGACATACTATCTGATGTGTCTATCTGATACTGTTTGATGTGTCTATGATGGGAATATGTGATTTTTTTTTTATTTTTATTTTTATTAGATTGGCTACATCTGTGGAAGGGAATATGTGATTTTTATTTGTGTATATCAACATTTTGGCCAGTTTGCATTTCTTGTGGGTATAGTTTTATGTGCTTGTGCATGGACAACACACATAGGCCTAGTTCTAAATGATCTGAAAGGAATATAATTGCAACAGAATATGTGTATATAAATACAGCATACACATGTGATGGCTAGGGAGAACATATATGGGATTTCAGTCAGGATCTTATTAGAGAAGGTGTGTGATTAGCACTGTCATTGTCAGTGACTCCCTTATAAATCACCTTATACAACTATTTCTGTCTGTAGTCTGATGTACACGTAGTGCCATAATCTCTGAGGTGATAATTGCAGGTGCTGAGTAACACCCTCTGTACGTAATACATGAAAAGAACTATATGATTGCATAGATGCTAAAGGGCTTAAAGAAAGCAAATACAGGCCCAGTGGTGGCTCACACCTGCAATCCTAGGACTTCGGGAGCTCCAGGTGGGATTATTGTTTCAGATCATGAGTTCAGACTAGCCTGAGCAACATAGTGAAACCCCCATCTCTAAAAAATAAAAAAATTAGCTGGGTGCCCTGCACCTGCAGTCCCAGCTATTCAGGAGGCTGATGCAGGAGGATGGTTTGAGGCCAGGAGTTTGAAGTTACAGTGAGCTATGATGACACCACTGCATTCTACCATGTTTCCCCGAAAATAAGACAGGGTCTTATATCTATTTTTCCTCAAGAAGACACCCTAGGGCTTATTTTCAGGGGATGTGTTATTTTTTTTAAGTACAGTACAACAATCTACATTTATTCAAATATAGTTAAGTCTCTTCTTCTGGAACATCATCATAACTCTCCAAATCCCGAATTCTATCCTGAATTTCTTACGACTCTATTTCCTTTAGAACTATTGGCCTCAATCTCTCACCTCGAGCAATAGAGCTGTCATGGGACAGATGAGAAAGGCTGTTCATCTTCTTTACCTGGGCGAGGAAATGCATGGGTTGTACAAATACGCTGGGTAGCCACGCCCATCACTAGGTTTTATTTTCTGGGAAGGGCTTACATTGATTGTGCAAATGCTTAGAAATCAATTTGCACAATAAGCCCTGCTAGGGCTTATTTTATGGGTAGGTCTTATTTTTGAGGAAACACAGTAGCTCTGGCAACAGTGCAACACTCTGTCTCAAAAAAAAAAGCAATCACAAAATTTCCTGAAAACACAGTTTGAGTTTGAATTAACAAGCACAATGTTGTTTTTACAGTTTCAAACTCTGATTAGACGATCTGTGTTTAACTCATTACCTGTCTCATTCCTTTTACAATAAACCCAAAGCTTTTATTTTGCTGGAGTATTTGGGTTAATCTTTTGTTTTTCTGTCATGTTCTGAAATACATACAATAACAAAATCACTCAAAATATCACCGCTGTTAGATGGTAATATTTTGTGCTTTAAGGAGAGATGCACAACAACATTTGGGGACCCAAGAAATCAAACAAATAAAGGATTTATTTATAATCTCTTTCCTTCAACAGAAGTTTACATCCTCTTGTTATTGTCTGGTTACCTGCATTAGGGATTTTGCGGGAGGAAAACAGCTCAAAGAGGACGTTCATGTGGATTCTGGTTCACATTGGGTTATCCGAGAAAAATGATCCCAATTGACTGAAGAGGTGCAGTGAAACACTTCCTGGAGTTCTCATTGGGGACTAGGACGTACTCGAGCCGGGCCCATCACCTTCTCCCACGCTCGCGGGTGGTGGCGAGCGGAGCCGGCCGGCGCGGTGACGCCAGGAGGGCCGGGCCGCCGCGGGGGGCGGGGGGGGGCAACGCCCCGCCCGAGCCGGGATTGGGCCCGCCCGGCCCGCTCCGCGCGGGGGACGCGAGCTGCTCCTGTGCTGGTTGCCCGGTGTTCGCCCAGGATTTAAAGCCGGCAAGTTTCGTCCTTCAGACCAACGACTTTCCCTCCGATGCGGGAAGGACAGCTGACCCCCAACTGGGGCGTTTAAAAAGCTGAGCTGGGACTGGGTGAGTTTCGCTTCACGTTCCGGTTGAAATGAAGCCGGGCTCGCAGGTCGCGTCGCCGGGGGTGCTGGCCCCGCGCGAGGACCCTCCCCTCTCCCGGCGTGTTTTAGAGGCGGGCTGCTGTCCTGCAGCCCTAGTTTGCCGCTGTCAGTCGGTTTCCTTCCTTTGTTAACGAGGCTCCCAGACGCGCGAGGCGAGTGAGTGGCGCGAGTGGCGAGAAACCTTTGAGCGAGGCTCGGTCTCGCAAAGGAGAAGCAGATAAGAGGACTGCTACCGAGCCGAGACTTGCTGCTCCCGTGCAGGAGTAACTGGCGTCCTGAGTGCTGAGGTCAGGAGTCTAACACAGCCCGCCTCTTGATGAAAGTGTACTGAGGCCAGTTTTTTTTTTTTTCTCATATAGAATTAATATGTGTGATCAGTTGTGCGATAAAAACACAGCTCCGCAGCCGACAGCATCTTACTGGGGGGTCGAGGCCCCTCTGTGGGTGGAAGTGTTGCCCCTCCCCCCGAATCCCTGCCTGGGGAAAATTCGAGCTCGCTGGGCGGGATACGTCTCGGGTGCCCGGACAGTTTGCTCTTTGTGCCGCGGCCGGCAGACGGGCCCTCGGGTCCTCCGGGAGGGCTGTGGCGCGGGGGCTGCGGGCTGCCCGGCCTCCGCCCCGCCCCCGGCCGCCCGCGGCGCCTCCTGGCCCGGCTGCTCGCTCCGCCGCGAAGGAGCCTCCGAGTCTCCCTGCGCGCTCCGGGCCGGGCCACGTCCCCGCAGGGCCGCGGAGGGGAGGGTCGCGAGGGCGAAGACGCGCTGGTTCTCGGTCGGCTCCAGGACTCGGGTTGGAACGCGAGCCGGGGCCGGGGCCACGCGGCCGGAGCAGACACTGGGCCCGGGGCCCGGCGCTCCGGCCGGGACTGCGCGCGGCCCGGCGTCGGGAAGCTGGCGAGGCCCTTCCCGCCGCTGGAAAGCGCGGAGGGCGCGTTCCCTTCCCGGAGCGCCTTTGTTTCCTCCGGCCGCCTGCGCGGGCGCCTGTGACCCCGGGCAGAGCCGCGGCCCAGGTGCGGCAGGTAGGCGGGGGGGCGGTGAGCTCCAGTTGGGGACAACTTCCCTGGGCCGTGCGGGTTCCCCTCTGGGAGCTCCGGCTCCGCGAAGCTGAGACCGGCCGGAGCGCGGGAGCCAGGAGACGAACGCTGCGCCCGCGGCTTCGATATCTGGCGGGGACCCCAACCTTGAGGCCACCTCCAGGCTGGAGGGCTGAATTCGGGTAGAATGCCTGCCTCTGGCTGGAAAGGAGGAAATGAGTTACTGGCCGGGGAAATGGAGACAGGGAAGTGGGCAGGCAGTGGAAACCGGGGGATGATGATAATCTCTTATCTCTCGTTAGAGGGACGTCTTAGCTACTCTTACCTCTGCCAAATTTTATTTTGCATCCTGATGTGACAGTTAATTGCTTGCTCAGATACCATGTAGGTAAAAGTAACAACTTTTAATTCGACTCTGGCTACATATTGTATTTTTCTTTCCCAGTATTGGTTTTCATAGGTTAAGTTGAAGGGACATCAGTGTAACCACACAATGGCTGGTGGTGGCTTGTAGCTCCTATTTAGGGTAATTCTCTGATGAAAGTACATCCATCAGAATTGGATTTGTTCCTTTGTGCCCTTATTTTGGGAAACCTTGCGTGGTCCCTGTGGAGGAAGGGAGAGGGATGTGAGGAGCTGAAGTTGACCCAGAAAAGGATGATTGAAGGTAATTGTTTTAAATAGTGTCACCGAAATGATCCCACCCTGAACTTTCTGAAAGGATGATTAGTGGTTAACAGCCAAGGTTTTAACTTTTTCACAAGAAACTTAAGGTATATTCTATGTCATCACAACGTGAAACCTGCTTTTTCGAGCAAACTCTTTGGTCTTAAAGCAAGATAAATTTAATACCCGAAATGTTTCCATTATATACTTTGGCTCCTTCTCACACTCTCCCTTTCCTCCTCCCCCACACACTCTCAGAGAGCATTTATCAGCTTCCTCTGAGGAGGCTGACTCAGCCTGAGGTACCCCAGCCCTCCAGGGTTCACTGTGACACCTTAAAATTGAATGAGTGTCAGGGCTCAAGCGGGAGCCCAGAGAAGCTGTTCCCAAGAAAGTGAGAGATGAGAACAAGTAGGAGGTAGAGATGCTTACAATTGCTTTGCCTACAAAGAAAACTCAGAAGGTGGGAGAGAATTTTCAAATTAAATTGCAGGCCCTATCAAGTAAAAAATGTTACATTGTATTTTATTAAAATGGAGATCAAATTTCCCTTTTTGTAAAGGACATTCAAATGGTGAGATTGTAGGAAAAGGAAATAATTTTCTAATTCTCAAATATAGAACAACTTGAATAATAACTCCTGGGTTTTGAAATGGGTCATCTTTTAAAATGGGTCACTTTGGCTAGAATCATTGCACTGGGTGACTTTCAAATTATAAAGGGTCAAGTTCTTTCTGAGGTCCAATTGCACTGGAATCTACATTTCAGAACACAGGATGTGGTAGAAAGAAACTAGGAGACATTCAGAAAGAAATGGTCTCTTCTCAGTGTAATGAAGTATACTCTATTGGGGAGAATTTTATATATGCTCAATCAAATGGATGTAAGCTTTGCATTTTATAGTACATTATGCCTTTTTTGAAATATCTCCATAGCCATTATTTTATTCCATTGTTAGAATAACCTTCTGAGGAGATGAATTCATTGTATTTGTGTTCCAGAAACTGAGGCATAGCAAATTATTACAAAAGCTCTGCCATGTGACATTGAATCTCTGCCAGCAAAGATGTAGCCAGAATAATGTAAATCCAGAATTACTTTTCTTGCAGTATGCAATGTCTATTATACATTAGCTTATATATATAAAAGCTATATATATAAACTTTATATATATATATATCTTCTTACACCCCCATATATATATACATATATGTGTATATATATATGTATCGGATAGAAGAATCTTCATATTTAAAGATAAGAAACTTTATCAGGTGAGATGTAAACTTTGAATAAACAAAAGTGTTGTGTGGGTTTTTTGTTTTTTTTTTACTTTAGTTGTAAAAATTCAGAGGTTGGCTTTGATCCGTAACTTATTTAACTTCCATAGTGAAGGCTTTAATACTAGAAGCCAGTTTTCTATAGAAGAGAATGTTCTACCAAGTCTGCAGGCAACAAATCCCAAAAGTTCAAGTTCAACATACTGTTACACAGCCTAAGATCCACCTAAAGTTGCATGTTTTATCTTTTTTATTCCTTTCCTACAACTCTTTCTACAACTTTTTGATGGTGCTCTTAGCAAAATAAGTTAAAACGTTGATTCAACTTATAGGGCCTTGTAACTGTATATCTGTGTTGTCATCATTGAAATGTATTTTAAGTGTTTGTGGGAACTACATTGTTCTTTCCTGTCAAGAATAATGGAAGACCATGAGAAACATGGGAAGACTGTATTCAGTTAATTAGGAATTATACTTCTGTTCTCAGTCATTACAGTATTTGGATGGGTTAAGGGGGTCTTAGCAATCAGATTAGTATTTTTAAAAACTCATATCTAATTAATATTTTTTGAGAAGTATATTAAGAATATAGCTCAGCATTCTGGGGTGGGGGAAATAACTCCTAAAAATATCAGTCTTCTACTAAGTAACCCATATGATAAAGATACATGAACAGTTTCTAGAGAAAGGAAATTAGCACATATGGAACATTTGGACAGTCCTTTGTCAATAAGTTATCTCAAATTATCCTCTTAAAACACTGTCTAGTACATGGTTTAGAGAAAAGTCAAGCTTATGTGACCAGTAAATGCAAGAGGCAGAATATAAATTTCTTTTTGCTGAAATTCTAAAACTTTTTTTTTTTCTCTCTCTCTCCTGCCTCCACTAGGTCCAGATTCCAGGTTGTACTGGAACATTAACTGACTCTTTGGTGGGGGATCCACACCTGGAAGATTTCCAGAGTCTTCCCAGCATCCTGCCTGTGGCCTACTACATAGTATGTGATAAATCGATATTTGTTGAATTAATTAAACGTAGGTATTACCTACTTTCAGGACTGCCTAGTGTAATGCCTAGAACAGGTGTTTAATAAATAGTAGTGAACTTAACTTATAAATATTGATCAACTAAGACAGAAACATTGTCTTAGTTGTCTTATATATACCTCTTATGTTTCATGCCATCTTTTACTTTTTGTATTCTATGTTGTAAACCTTCAATCAAACATTATTTCTAAATATAAAATGTCCAGAATGGGACATATGAACTGCCATTGGAAAACAGGCATAAACTTAGTTATATCATCACTCTGTTTCTGAATCACCATTTTCCTTATCATGATTGACTTCAGCTCACCTTTCTCCTTTTTTCCATCTCCTCTCTTTCCCTGGCTTCCAGCCAAACTAAGTTATTTGACATTCTTCGCTTGAGCCACAACCTTTTCTCTTGTATACTTTAAAAAATTCCTATAGTAGAGTCTCTTGGAATGTCTTTCTCCCTGCTTCCTCTACCCCACTCTTTTAAACCAGCTTAAATGCTGCCTGTCCCACTCTTCCTGTTTCTCTCTCTCTTTCTGAACTATCTCTTCTCCTTTCCTCAAACCCATGTTTGAATTCTATCTGTTATTCTAGCTTCTGCTCATTTGCCACCTCTCCCCCAAACCCTTCCCCAGTTTCCATCTTCTCCCATTTCAGAAGAGAGCTCTTCCCTCACAGAGTGCCTGGTTATCTCAGGAGACCAGTTCTAGGGGACCTCCTGACACTCCTGGATATCCACAGATATTCAAATCCCTCATATGAAATGGTGTTGTATTTGCTTATAACCTACACACATCCTCCTGTATACTTTAAATCATTCTAGATTACTTGTAATACCTAATACAACCTAAATGTTATGTGAATAGTTGTTACACTGTATTGTTTAGGGAATAATGACAAGGGAAAAATCTGTACATGTTAATTACAGATGCAACCATCCATTTTCCCCCAAATATTTTTAATCTGCAGTTGGTTGAATCCAAGGATGCAGGACCTATAAATACAGAGGGCTGACTATATACGTGTTTCCAATATCAGATTCATGCGTGAAGCTTACACTGGCCTTCCTTTCCCAACTGAATGCAGCATTTCAACCATACCTTCATCAGTTTTTCTGGGACAAAGTCATCCTAAGAAATCTTAAGAATGTTTGAAACATTATAGCTTGAGTTGAATGTTGTTCTTCTAGTGATCCAGATAAAGCAGTCATTGTGTCTGAAGAGTCCTAGTGGGGTGGCAGGGGTGGGGTTGGCAGCGGTGGCAGTTTTCAGCATGTTTTATATCACATTAAAGGAGTGGGCCTATATTTTAGGCAATATCTCTTATTGTATTTTTGATTCATCCACTGGCTATAAACCTTATGATAGGTAACTAGTTTACATTTATTAATCATGTTCACTTGTGTGTCATTTGATAAGCTGATTTTGAATACATATTCAAAAATTTCCCTGCCCTTACATACAAAAAAAGGTTTGATATAGCTTTTTAATAAGAGAATAATAGCTGTTCTAGGGCTAAGGTATGTGTGCATGATTCCTCAACTTTCATTTTATCCAATGCTTGCTCATCAAATACTTGCTTAAAGCTTCCTGAGTCCTGTACTTTTTTCTCTCTTCTTCCTTCCTCCCCATCTCTTTCCCCTGCTTCTGCCACTCTAGATCTCTATCCTTAAATTCCCCCAGTCTTTGTGGAGGAAAGGCTGTGTACTCACAGGACACAGACTCATGAGGTCACTCCTGCCCATTGTCTAGTGCTGTTGGGACCAAGAAAACGAAGGAGGGACAATTGAGATGGGGAGTTGAGAAAAGGGTTTGTTAGTAAAGAGAGAACAAGCACTAACGAAATGCAGGTGGTAGCAAAACTTAGATGACCTTAAACTTCAGACAGTGAAGCAAATTCTCTTCCTTCTTGGGTTACCTGTCTTGACCCTGCCCACCTGCTCCCCTTCCCTCCTATCCTGATGGGGACTGTAGGAAGACCTCTGTCTGTGGCAGGAAGGATGGGCAGGGAACTAAGGCTCATCAGCTGCTCTCCTGTGTGCTGCCATGGGGTTTGGAATTTATGGAGGTTACATGGATAACCCGGTATCTTGGTGCCTCAGTTTTCTCTTCTGCAAAATGGGGTGATCATTTCTCCCTCATAGGTTGTTGTGAGGCTTAAAGAGTTCCTATAGATATAAAGCATTTAGAATAGTGCCTGGTGTACAGTAAACATACTCATGTTAGTAACTGTTGCTAACAGTAAACAAAGAAGTTTGTTTACTAAGTAGATAAGAATTGTATTTAAAAGAGCACGTAACCCTGTCAACCCAAACAACTGTGGTGCAAGAATAAATACAGAGGGCTAACCTTACAAAAGCAAATGTTTGACCTGAGGTCTCCTTTATATTTCAGCTTTTTTATTTCTTTCAAATTCTACATAATCAAACTGGTACCTGGGAAGTTTTGGTAATTTAATATAGCTCCCCTAAAATATAATTATACTCTATAATTCCATGCCACTAGTTTCCTTAGTAAAGTCTTAGGGTTTGTCTTTAAACCTGTTTGTTCATTCAATATTTCCCTCCCTTTATTTTTCCTATAATCAGCAAACAAATCTATATCCTTGTTTAAATTATAAAGAAACATATAACTTAGTGTGTGTAGCTGGGGAGATGTAACTGGATTCAGAGAGTAGTTTTTATTTATTTATTTATTCATTCATTCATTCATTTAGAGACAGAGTCTCACTCTGTTGCCTGGGGTAGAGTGCTGTGGCATCAGCCTAGCTCACAGCAACCTCAAACTCCTGGGCTCAAGCAATCCTTCTGCCTCTGACTCCTAGAGTGCTAGGAACAGCCTCAGAAAGTAGGTTTTATTACCGAATTTCCCCCTCTGTCTCATATCCGTGCTTGCTAACTTGGAATTTAAAGTCTTTGGACTAACGCTGACTCAAGAACTAATTCTAATATAAATGTATTCTCTTTGGAAAAATAATAATTCCAAATGGCTTCTGATTTTGCCCATGGCTTGAGCTAAAGTTTCATAGCTAAAATCACAGCCACAAAAATACCTGAAGACAGCTGTTGGGTACATTTTTTTCTTTTTTATGGGCCCTGTATTGGAACCACTTAAATCTGAATTAAAGAATAATATAACAGTTGCAAGGATATCTGATTTTTACACTTAAAATGTGATAGATTCAAATTTCACATTGCATCCTTCCTTCTTGAGCACACAGAATAGGCATTTAGTAACAAATAATTTTGTAACCAGTTGTATTTCTCAGCACTGATTACTGTAATTGATTTAGTAAGAAAAATCTATGAAGTTCAAATTATAGCTTTTCCAGTAAATTCTTGGCTTTTTATTCCTGGTTTCTTTCAATAAGGCAACTTGCCTCCTGAAGGTTGGTTCTAGCCATGCTTAACAGGGAGATGATCAGAAGCAGCCAGGAAGAAAAAGATTTGGAATGTAGAATAAAATGCAACATAAAGATGGGACAGAAAATGTTATCTTTCTTTCCTTTGAGTTATGCCTGGAAAGGAACTCAAAATTGTCTCTCACATGGGACTTTATTTTTTTTTTAATGTGTTTTTTTTTTAATTTATTTTTATTTTTTTATTTTAGTGTATTATGGGGATATAAGTGTTAAGGTTACATATATTGCCCATGCCCCCCTCCCCCCTCTAGTAACATGGGACTTTAAATAGAAGTTTAAATATAAAAGATATAAAGTACTAAAGCTTTTTTTTTAAAAAAAAAATCTGTGACTTACCAGAGGCTAATTGGTTTATAGTCATACTTTATAAGCATGTCACTTTAAAGGAATCATTAATATTTGTATGACTCAGGGTATTCTGAATATAGGTTGATTTTTAAAGACAATCATCAATTCAGTCTTATTTTCTGTGATTCCATTCAGGGGCAGGTTTCACAATAATACTTTTATTTCCACAGCAAGGAAAAAACTAGAGCTAGAATGGAATGTATAAGTTACCTAGTTTTCTTCTTCTAATCCATTAGTTTTTCTGTCAAATTATACTGCCCATGTATGTAGAATTTCAGGGTTTGTTTTTGTTTTGGTAACAATTGAAATAAGAGAGGATCATCTTATAGTAGAGCTTTGATTCCATCTAGATTGGTGTTTTTCAGATTTATAGGGCACAATCCCTTAATGGTTCATGGAACCACTTTAGGCAGCTTAGTTGTCCAGCATTAAAAAAAAAAAGGGAATACAAGTGTGCCTTGTATATAATAAGGATTAGTATCATTTTATGATACTTTATTTAGGTATATGTACACATATATGAATGCAGACATATCCGGGGAAGTCAGCAGTATTCAGCACCCAGGGGTTCCGGGCAGCAGGTTGGTGATTAGGGCGACTCAAGTGAGGTGGGGCTATGTACCTGCATGGTTAGATCATGCCTGTTTACAATTTTGATATTGTGCTCATTGTGGATATTTTGCATTACTTTCAATTTTTTAAAAAATACTGCATTAAAATATTACACTGACTACTATGTTTTTGTCCTCTCTTAAATTTTGCACCCAAGTAAGTGCCTTCCTTGCCTCTCCCCAGCCCTGGCCCTGATCAGAATGTTTTACAGCACAGTGGAGAGTGCTGGGAGGTGGGGAGCCTCTGAGGAGGCGGCACATGTGGGGACCAGGGGTTGACCATGTGTCTGATGTCTTCTTTCTCTAGGAAGCAGACAGGAGATGAGGTCTTCAGAGTGAGGGGACAGGCCCTGGGAGAGGGGGATTTAGCATGGCTGCTGAAGAGACTTGGAAAGGGAGAAGGTCTAGGACAAGTACAAGGACAGTCACGCAGCACTGACAGCTCTGCCCACAGCTAGACGGTGCGATTTGTGGAGACGCTGCCTGCCTGCTGAGGTTGGTTTCTCCAGCAGCCCTGCAGGTGTTGTAGGAGTGGTGGAGAGGATGGGAGTGATCCAAAGTCTGGAGTTCTTAGGGTGGAA